TATTGAAATTAATTTGGGAATTCCAAAGGGTATTGAAATTAATTTGGGAATTCCAAAGGGTATTGAAATTAATTTGGGAATTCCAAAGGGTATTGAAATTAATTTGGGAATTCCAAAGGGTATTGAAATTAATTTGGGAATTCCAAAGGGTATTGAAATTAATTTGGGAATTCCAAAGGGTATTGAAATTAAAATAGAGTTTTAATTAATTTGGGAATTCTAAAGAAAAAATCCCAACACTATTTTCATCAATATTCTAGAAATAAACGTTGTACAATACAAAATATGTCTTATGTATTTACATATCTAACTCCTAAATTTTAAATATATATGTCATCTCATCTATGCATGAAAAATTTATATTTCACTTTTTTTAAAAATTAATAATAATATTTTTTATTTAATATGAAAAATTTAGATGATATAAAATAAAAGAAAAATTCGAACACGAGAGTAACGTGCGTAGAGTAACGTGCGTACCCAATGAAATCACGCCAGAAAAATTCAATATTAATCTTGTAAAAATTCGAACTCTATACATGGATCATATTCATGCTTCGTAACCCGAGCGATAATCGTTTACACCCCTAGCCTCATCGCAGCCTACCCATCCAGCCGTCGTTCTCCTTTCGCCATAGCACAAAACCTTAAACCCGCGCTGCAGGCCATCTGGTCGCCCAGACCACGCCCTACCATCATGACCCCATAGCATTACGATGCCTTCTGGATTAGGGCCGGGACTGGTATCTCTGCTTAGAACTGCAAGTTCAGCCGTAAAATTACGCAGCACTCACAGCCGTCTCCCTTTCCTACTGCGTTTTTCAATCTCATCAAATGCCGGAGAGCTTGAAGCATCGCCCTCAGCTGGCTCTCAGCGGGGTTTCTGTGGATACGCGGCGGAGCAATACTCAGACGATGAATACGAGTGTGACTTCGAAAACCAAAAGGTGCGGATGGAAAAGTTTTGGGATTTTGCAATTTGTTATCTGCATGTTACTTTTTTGTGGATGTTTTGCACTTTTACTGTTTGTAAGACTTTCTATCAAATGCTTAATCATGGTGTGCTCCTTTTCAGAATATTGTTTATTTTGAATGCTGTCTGTGCAGGTTTGCTTCTGAATACTGGTAAGTAGTACACTGCTGTTACTTGGTGGCATGTTTTTGATATTTATGCCTTGCTATTGTATTGGATTATTTTTTCCGCACGAATTTTTTCTTATAAGGAACGCAAACATTGGTATTTGTTAGCGAACACCCTAGCATTTTAACCATTTATTTTGAATTTATCTTTGTTAGCTTGTAGTTTTTTTTAATACCAATGAATAGTCAAATCCTTAATTTTGTTTCCTTTCCAGCCATCTTCTTCAGTGGCCAACATAGATGAGTGGAGGTGGAAACTGAGCATGCTTTTACGCAATCCTGAAGAACAAGAAATTGTCTCCAGAGATAAAAGAGATCGCCGTGACTATGAGCAAGTATCTAACCTTGCAAAAAGGATGGGGCTTTATAGGTAGCAGATTGGCATTCATCATCTCTTTACCCGAAATATTCTATTTAGTTTAGCATAATTACTATTTCCTACACTTGCAGTGAGTTGTATGGGAAGATGGTTGTTGCAAGCAAAGTTCCTCTTCCAAATTATAGACCTGATCTTGATGACAAACGTCCACAAAGAGAGGCAATTTCCTTTTTATATTGCAATGCACTTTAGATGTATTTTGAAGCATCTAAAATGTTTTACATTATCTGTTGCTTCACAGGTTGTGATTCCTCTCAGTCTGCAAAGACGGGTTGAGGGTTTATTGCAGGAGCACATTGATAGAATGGAACTAGAATCTTCTAAATACAGTAAAATTTTGAAAAGAAATTCTACTACCGATGATACCGAAGAAGTTGTAAATGACAACCAAGATGCTTTGGTTGATGACGTACTTATGGAAAAGATTCTTCAGAGGAGGAGTTGGCGTATGCGTAATTTGCAACGAAGTTGGCAGGTTGACATCCTTAATCACAAAACATTTTTTTTTCTTTAATCATTATCATCTTTTATTATTTATAACATTCTTCTTGAACTGTAGAACAGTTGTAGTTTTATTTGCTTATATCTTGAAAATATGAAGCTATTTTTTATACGGAGGCCATTGATGTGTTGTCCACAATTAGTTGCAGTTATCTTTGTTCAGTCAATCTTAGTATGCTATTACTGCTGCTTCTACATGCGACAATTCCCTTTACCTTCAACTTCATAATCTTTTTGTAAAATTTCTTTACAGATTTTGCTTACTCATACCATTGATCTATGATTTTGAATCAAACACATTGAAATTTAATTTTAAAATTGACAGGATTCACCTGAGGGTAATAAAATGCTTGATTCCAGACGTTCTCTTCCTGCATACGCGGAAAAAGAGGCTCTTTTGTCTGCTATTGCACGCAATCAGGTTTTTACTTTGGCGAAGAATATTTTAGTTGTGCTTTTTGTTTAATGATCATATAAATTTATACAAATTTCTTCTAGAATTCTAGTTCTTCTCTCCTTGCAGCTAGCAGCCTCTGTTAGTTCTTGGCATTCTTGTTCTAAGTTTTTAACACATCTTCTGCTTTTATAATGGATTAATTTTGAGGTGATTTCTAAGATAACTACCCATGTTTAACTATCTTGTTTTCTTTCTCTATTCCAATTGATTTTTTCTGTGAAAAAAATATCACTATTTTTATGTCGGTGTGTTCCATTGCCAAACAAATGCTTTAACTCTTTTTTCAAAGTGAGATTCAATCACTTTCAGGTTCTTACAATGAAAAAAATGGACTTTATTGCTGTTAGCAGGGATTGTGATGCAATTCAAGCGTTTGAATCACATGTGAGAATGTAAAAAAGAAGAGAAGAGAGGTTCAGAAAATGAAAAAGAAAATGACGTGGAGATTAATTTGAGATGGAGAAAAGAAACCTGCTTCAATATCATGCTCCCCCTATCATTTCTTAAAGCAAACCCCTTCAGAGAATGGTTGAAATATTCAACTTAGAATTATGATAAGAAATGCTCATTTCAATGACTTTCCAAATGCAAATCAATCGTTATGAGAAGAGGAGGACAATAGAGAAACACTTGAGCTCCTAGTTCTTTGAGTTTCATGCTGCACAATTTTATTTCTCGCCACCTGTGATGAAGCTGCAGAATGCGTATCTTGTTATTGTATGGATATTGCTTTTGGTTTTTATTGACCTGTAACTTTTACTTATTTTGGGCAGGTTATAGTGATTTCTGGAGAGACTGGGTGTGGTAAAACAACACAACTTCCTCAGTATGTATTAGAATCTGAGATAGAATCTGGTCGAGGAGCATTTTGCAATATCATTTGTACCCAACCTCGAAGAATATCTGCTATAACTGTTGCGGAAAGGGTTTCTGCTGAACGGGGAGAGAAGCTTGGTGAAACAGTAAGCCTCCATAGCCATGAAATCTTGCTGTTTTGTGACTTTTAAGAGAGATTATTTCAGCACTATTCTTTTTCCTTCCATAAAACACTAGTTTCTGTGATAGGTTGGTTACAAAGTTCGATTAGAAGGCATGAGGGGGAAAAACACACATCTCCTTTTTTGTACCAGTGGTATTTTACTGAGAAGATTGCTGGGGGATCGCAATTTGAATGGTGTAACCCATGTTTTTGTTGATGAAATTCATGAAAGAGGCATGAATGAAGGTGCTTTCCATGTTTGATCATATTCATATTTGATTGCCTCTTTAATTGCATTTTTAATGTAGAATATGCTATCTTGTTGGTGCTTACTCCTTTAGATTTTCTACACGTGCAGATTTCTTGTTGATTGTGTTGAAGGATCTTCTTCCTCGTCGTCGTGACTTGAGATTGATTTTGATGAGTGCTACGTTGAATGCTGAAATGTTTTCAAATTATTTTGGTGGAGCTCCCACAATTCATATTCCAGTGAGCTTCAATTTTTAACGAAGAAAATGTGCTTCGATTTTCTGTAACTAGTTTTTTTCTTTATATTTATTCTGTTGATATTGCTGCAATCATTTTGCATTTCTCTTGAAATTAATTTCAACTTATTCAGTTGATAATTTAGTTATCTTAGCTGTTAAGTACTTCTCCAACGTTGGTGTTAAGTTTTATACGTCAGAATACCAACATGTTGTGTATTGATTTTCATTCACATATCATTGTACTAGTTTTTAATTGCGTGTGAACATTTTCTTTGTAATTTCTTACCTTTTATTTTCCTTTGTATTTTAATAGTAGAAGCAATAATATAGGACGCCAATCTTTATTTGGTGAACGTACTCCGTGACTAAAACCGTTGCCAAATCAATAGAAATTTGTTTTTGCTCTTTTTTTTTAATAACTACAGCAATGTTTTGATAGCATTGGGTTTTTCTGACTAGGACGGGGAGCTGTGTTCTTAGGATGCATGGAATCATTCAGATCCTTATTAGGCATATTGAGTTCAGTTTTATGAACCAAATTCTCGATTGTTTCTTGTTGGTTGCATTTGGATTTTTTATTTATTGTAAATTGAAAGCGTGGCAAGATCTCTTCTTATTGAGTGAAAAAACAACATAATTACAAAATTGTAGAATAAAAACCCGGAAAGTAAGGGTTCAAACTGTAGATCAAAAGAGCTGTAATGATATTTTTTTGAATATTTAAAGCCCTCATGTTCTCTAGAATTTGACACACCTTATTATTTAACAGGAGTCCATCCAAAAGAGCTGATTGTTAGAAGAAGATATTCCTAGATGTCCTCAGCAATATCCTCTACATGAAGATCTGCCTTGGACCAGAAGGAAGAGTCCAAAGGTTAGGTATTATTAAAAATACCTAAGAGAGAGCAATCTGTTCCAAACATAAGATGAGAGATAAAATTGAAAAGCATTTGTGAATCATCGTCTGGAAGCGAATTACCATGATGCTAATTATAGAACTCTTGAAGTCCAAATGTGGAAATGAAGTATTGCTTGGAATCTTTTCCCAAAAAATTAGTCATCCAAACAGATATATTTTCATTGGAACCAAAACTTTCTTGATCCAATTCTAGAAGGTTGAAAGGATATCTCCATGTATTAGGAATAATAGAAAGCTCTGATTAAAAAAAAAAAAAAGACCATTAAAAGAGACCTCCACATTGGAGAGTTGAAGATTGAATTCCAACTTACGGTAATGATTGAAAATATCATTGAACTGATGAAAGAGTGATTCTTTTCTAATAAAGTTGCTAGTTTGATGCAGAGAGATATTGAGATGTCAGCAAACATTTAGGATTACATGCTAACTAGAAGAGATTGGATTATAATATGCTGAGGGCAAATTCCTTTCATCTATCTAAAAATTGATTCTTTCATCATTTTGAATGTCCTAATTGGCCTGTTAAAGGAAAGGAATAAAAGATTTTTTAGATTCCTCAAGTAAATTGACTATAAAGAGTACCTTTGCCCATTCAAAAGTCAGGAGACGAAGTGTTGCTTGTATACTTGTGATAAGATCCGTCGTCAAAATCAGCATGTTTTTCCATACAAATTAGGGTAACCACAAATTTTATTTTCCAATTTCTAAAATTCGAGCGGTAGGATGTCTCTCATAAGCCATAAACCTATTATACAAAACTCAATCTCATTCATACCGAACCCTAATCCTGTTAGTGCCTATTTATACCAAACCCTAATAATAATAAATTATCAAATTGCCCTTAGGTTAATAAAAGAAAAAATTGCCCTTAAGGTTAGGCTGGTGTAACAATACCCACCTTTAAAATAAAATAAAATAAAATGAAAAAAAAAGTACACATTTTCCTCAAGGTGGGAAAATATGAAGGCGTTCCTCCTCTACTGCTTCTGCCTCCGACTCCTCATTATCTGCCTCCTCCCCTGCACCAACTAAAATGATCTGGAATGTGCTATCCTTGCACTGATGGCTTGGGGCATACTTCTCATCACAATGGAAATAAATCTATTTGCTCTCTTGTCCCACACTTCTGCCTCTGTGAGGTGCTTAAATTTGTCCTCAAAATGAGCTCTTTTCTTCCGTTCCTTTGGTATCTTCTTCTGAAATGACACCGTCTGGGCCTTCAGTGTTTTGATCGTCGAGTTACTCTCATGGAATTCTCCCATGGTGTCGCTTTTGTTAGTCTTTTTCTTATGGTTCTTGTCTTTCACCGTTTGGGTGAGCTCCATCATCTCCCTCTTTCCTTGCGGATTCAATAGTTTGGATGTTGCCCGTATGTCGGGCTTTATGGTCTTCAAGAAGTTTTCGTTCAATCCCATTCTAGAAAATTTCCTTAATTGTTTCGACAATTGCTCAAATCTCTCTCTATAGTCCATGATAGTCCCCTCCTAAGTCAAAACATAAAATTGCTCTTGTAGGTTTCCTTTTTGAATGGCTTGAAAATATTCCAACAATCCTTAAATTTCTCTCATGCACAGATTGTGTATCTAGCCTTCCTTCACTGAAATCAGGCTAGGGCTTTTCCCTCTAAACATTGCCTTGCCACCATGAGTTTCTCCTCCCCATCTAGCCCATTCATTGCAAAGTATCGGTCTACCCAATACGCCTATCCATTTGCATATTCCCTCTCGATGATCGACATCTTCAATTTCCGAATCCTTGTATCTCCACCCCAACTTTCTCTCCTCCGCTGTTTCTCCCCATGTATTGAGGGTAAAACTCTCTTCTTTGTTCATAGCCATATCTCCTCCTTGCTCTTATCCTTTCTTCTTCGTGCTTATTCGTACCTCTTGCATAATCATTTTTCTATGTTTTGGCCTAGCCGTCTTCATTCGAAATCTCTAATCACCCCCGATTAGAGCCCTGGGAGGGGTATCGTGATGTGAGATGCTTTCCTCGTGTTCATCTCTTCGATCTCCTTTTCTTTTGATCTGGACAACTTTTGGTTATGATTTGCAAATTGTGGCGCTAACGACGACTTAGATTGCGTCTCGATAAGTCTCCTCATCTTCTCCTCTAAGTGACTAAATCGGTTTTCCATGGAAGAAAACCTATCATCTATGGAGGAAAATCTTCCTTCTATGTTGGAGATCATTTCCTCTATCACAGATGTAAGTTAGCCCACCTCTTATTCAATTTCTTCTCCATATCATCTACTTTATTGGTTGCTATTTCTTCATGTCGTTTTCGAAACCTGTATGCCGCGTAGGGCTGTAAACGAGCCGAGCTTGAGCGAGCTCAGGCTTGGCTCG